TTTTTTTTTTTTTTTTTTTTTTTTTTTTTTTTTTTTTTTTTTTTTTTTTTTTTTTTTTTTTTTTTTTTTTTTTTTTTTTTTGAAGTTTTTTGCTCTATAAATTAGCATTAGGACAACTTTTTGGGTGTAAGGGTGCTGTTCCTCTTTCTATTTTGCCTGTGAAGCACACCTTTTTGAATATTGGATACCAATAATTCAATATGAAAGAACTACTTTTTGAATATTCGATATCAACAATTCAATATGAAAGAACTACTTTTTGAATATTCGATATCAACAATTCAATAGGAAAGAACTACTTTTTGAATATTGGATATCAATAATTCAGTATGAAATAACTTTTTGAATCTTTGATATCAATAATTCAGTATGAAAGAGACAATCTCACATAAAAATGCCATATTTGGCTTCCATTTTGCCTCCCAAGAATTTCAATCACTTATTCAAACACGTAATTCATTGTTTCCAACTTCACCAAATTCACCAAATTCACCAAATTCAAACACGTAATTCATGATTTCACTATTCAATCTTTCTCAGTGATCATACAAAATAATCAGAAAGGATAATTTGGATCACAATATCCAAAATAATACATGATATATGCAAATCTTCTGCAAGTTTATTTCAAACAGATAGCATAGCAGAAAGACATTGGCGTGCAGGCGGCATTTTATTAGTGGAATTAGAACATTAACCCATAAGATGCAGTGTTACTAACTGATGCTTAATTTAAGGAACTGAGATTTTGCTTCTTTTTTGTTTTTCTATTTATCACCATTCTAAAACTAGGATGATAAACGTGACTACGCTACTACGACTTAAAGCACGTATCAAAGCAGAGAATGAACTTACAAGATCTTTGGCCTGCCATTGCATCGATTGTTACAGGTCTTCAACACGACGTTATCGTCTCAGAAAGATTCTTCCTCTCTTTGGAACTGAATGACCATTGATTTCCCGTTAATATACCAAGGTTTCTGTTCGGTCTCGGTTGGCAAAATGGAGATCAGGGAGATCACCGCTAACAGAGAATTTGAGCCATCTCTTCTTTTCGACATACTTGAGACCGGGTTGCAACAATAAGCCGATTGCAACAGCAGCTAGACTCACAAGCATCACTTTGACTGTGGAAAGGGCCAACACTACACATATTAGTATTGTAGGAGGGATACACATCAAGATCGATCCAACCGTTCCGACAGGTATCCTGTAAGGCCGAGATGCAGCTGGATGTTTAATCCTTAGCTTGACAAAAGCTAAGAATTCCAGAATCATTCCAAAGCAGTACAAGAAGTTCTCCGCTGCTATGATTTCCTGGAAGCTCAACCATGAAAGCAAAACAACGCCTGAGGCTGAAAATAGTATCCCAGTCAACGGTGTCCCGTGACGAGACCGTTGGCTGAAGAACTCAGGTAGCATACCGCGTTCTGCCATTCCGAGAAGTTGGAAAGAATCACTGCTCATCTCTGCTACAAACATTCCCATATTCGACATAGCAGCAGCCCCTTGGATCCACCAGCTCAACCAAGCTCCCCCTATAATTTTGGCAACATCAGAGAAGTAGCCATCGGTCCACAGTTCACGGTTAAGCGCAATGGCTCCCGTCCCACTCAAAAGAGGCAAGAAGTAACTGAGAACAACCAGAATCAAGGCATAAAAAAGTGCTTTAGGGAGTGTTTTGTTTGGGTTTTCCACTTCTCCAGCCAATGTGCTAATAGAATCCCAGTAATTCAAATTCCAGAAAAGAGTGTTCAAATACAGATTCCAGTCGACATCCTTTAGGTTCACCACAAACCATCTAGAAGGCTGTAGTTTCGGTATAGACACGAGTCCCATAACTGCAAAAGGGAGGATTGAGAAAGCACCAAGGATTACAGCAACCCAACCAACAATTGTTAATCCTCTATAATTCATGTAAGTGAGGATCACTGTCAAAGCCAAGACCGCAGCGACTCGTGGAAGACCTTCACCGAGAACTGGGATCTCCGACTTCAAGTAATCGAGAAACAAGACAGGATATAAAGCATTATCAATAACCCCACTAAGCCATTTCATCCAACCCTGCTGAAATCCCCAAAACGGACCCAATGCAGAAGAAACCCAAACCACATAACCACCATTTTCAGGAAACATAGTCCCCATCTCAGCAGTTATCAATGCTTCAGGAATACTCCATATAAGTGGAAAGACCAAAAACCCAAGAAGAGCCAACAGAGGACCAGCTGCCCCAACACTATCCTCAACTCCAAACGGACCCCCCGAAACCTCATAGAAGATGAGAAACACGAGAGGCAACACAGAAACTTTCTTTGCATTATTCACTAAAGGCGAAGGCAGTTCGCCAACCGACACATACTCAGCACGATTTATCTCTCCCATTGCAACAGAAGTTTGTCTGGCTGGCGAAGACCTCAATTTCTGCACAACCCACAAAGTAACATCATGACTAAGAAAGCTAAAATCCTCATCTCACATTCAAACTCGAATACAGAAGAAACAAGAACACAATATTCTCAGTCACTTAAACCAAGAAAGCTAAAATCCACATCTCACATTCAAACCCGAATACAGTAGAAACAAGAACACAATATTCTCAGTGCAGAGAGAGATGTTCGACATTCATTCATCCATAAGCAATCTCCACTTCTATTTTGATATATAGTTTGCCCTTCTAACCATAGGTTCCAGGATGACAACCAAAGACTAAAACCCGGTCAGACCAAGATTGTCGAAACGCCTACGCGTGGGGCCATTGCTGACGCCCCTTGCATTCAAAACAATTGGAAAAAAAAAAAAAAAAAAAAAAAAAAAAAAAAAAAAAAAAAAAAAAAAAAAAAAAAAAAAAAAAAAAAAAAAAAAAAAAAAAAAAAAAAAAAAAAAAAAAAAAAAAAAAAAAAAAAAAAAAAAAAAAAAAAAAAAAAAAAAAAGCAGACAGGAACCCTTTAATTCTCTAAGCGGTTTTGAGTTATTGTTTCTAACACCCTAATTCTCTTGTTGGCTACAAAATAGATCTGGTTCTATTGTTGATAAGAAATTTCTCTATGAACAATAGAGAATCCAGGGGAAGGTATAATATCCTCACTCTCAATCACTTAAATCCACATCTCACATTCAAACTCGAATACAGAAGAAACAAGAACACAGTATTCTCAGTCACTTGAACCAAGAAAGCTAAAATCCACATCTCACATCCAGACTCGAATCCCGAAGAAACAAGAACACAATATTCTCAGTAACTTAAACCAAGAAAGTCCCCAACCTACATCTGATAATAGCCATAGCAAGTAATTCCCTGTAATTAACACTCCAAATACGCATCAAACTCTTAAGTCATACTAATCCGATACTACAGTACAACATCCAGATGC